TGAGGAATTCGATGATGATGTCGTTCCAGATTCTATCCCTTCCAATTTTGGATCTGCGTTTGCTACAGTCCCTGGGGCTTCATACGCGAGCACTTTAGAGTACTCCCAAGACCAGTCAGAACTTGGAGGAGTCCAAGACAATGAGGACTTTGATGATGATGTTGTACCAGACGCTATCCCTTCCAATTTTGGATCTGCGTTTGCGAAAGTCCCTGGGGCTTCATACGCGAGCACTTTAACGTACTCCCAAGACCAGTCGGAACTTGGAGGAGTATTCACATCAGAGTCATCAATGTCAAAGGCATCGGCTTCGGAGCCAGTGAGAGAACCTTTGACCTTTGTCCAACAAATCAATGAAATGTATCACTGCAGAAGAAGGTCAGATGAGGTCAACCACCTTAAGACAATCGAGATAGTCTCCACCCTTATGCAGGAGACGGAGATGCTCTCGCTTAAGAACAAAGACCTCGAACAGCAGGTGAAACTGCTCAAGGGGGAGAACAACCACTTGAGGATGTCCGCTGAGGGTGTTTTGGAGGAACAGAACAGACATCTTGTAGAAGAGGTGAATCAGCTTCGCCAAAATATGAAGCTTACAGTTGAGAGGATGTATTACTATCAGGACAGGTGTGAGAAATATGAGCTTCTGCAAGCAGAACGAGTGGGTACAGGACCAGGTAAGCGTTGATAAAAAACCATTTCGATTCAAGGAAGCGTTGCATTTTCTGGTGTGTGTATGTGTGTGTGTGTGTGATACAGTGGAATCTAATACTTTTAGTAGATTTAATTTTGTCTTTGAAAATGGCCGATTCTTATGGAGTTTTTTTTTTTTTTTTTTTTTTTTTTTTTTTTTGGGGGGGGGGGGGGTCATAAGAACATTTAAAAATAAAATGTTGCACCCCATATTTTTGGTACAATAAAGTTAACTTTGACAGTAATAAATTTCGTATAAAGTTTTAATTATGTGTGTTTGTTTATCTTTCATTATTGATTATTTAAAAAATCTATTTTTTTTCTTCAAATAATTGTATAGCAGCCTACATCAACTCATCAAATCAGGATTTTAAATTTTCTCACTGTTCACCTCTCTTGTCATTTTGTAACACTCATTGTAAAAATAGGAAGCCTGTTTTTTCATATTCATCTATTTGTCGTCGTCGCAAGATTACCCCCTATCTCTCTATACTCAATATAATTATAAAATAAAGTCAAATCAATGTCCTTTTCATAACAGAAACCATGGGTGCAGGTGGAAGCTGTGGTTCTCCTCCATATACTGCTATGTCAGAGGAACCTGTTGCAATGCCATGTCTCCAGGACCCATCCTCTTTTCCTCCTGGTCCTTAAATTGCCGAGCAGTTTTCAAAACAACACTGAACAAAATTATCATTAGATGTAATAATACTTACAGGGGGGTGTTTCACAAAGATCCTAAGTCGTACTTAACTCTAAGTTGGACTTAAACATTATGGAAAGCCAATTGTAGCATGAAAATGAAATATGTTCAAAAACAAAAATTCAAGTATTTTAGACTTTTCATTACTTCCACATCAAGAACATGAAATCTCCTTGATAATAGAAGATATGAATGATTTGAATCAACATTTTATGCCTTTTAATATAACTTTTACAAAATATTTGTAAAGATGCTAACGGCTTTCCATAATTGTTAAGTCCAACTTAGAGATAAGTTCAACTTAGGATCTTTGTGAAACACCCCATATGTACTAATAATGCTGAATTTATCTGAAACCCATATAAAGGAACGTTTATAAAGAAAGATAGTGAAAGGAGTGTATATTGGAAAACAATACTTTTAGATCATGTAAGCTATAATAACACGTTTTCTACACATTCAAATTTCCACATACTAACAAAATTTCAGAATTTGGTAAGGGTATTCATAATTCAGTTGTTAACTGTATAATAAAAATCCTTGAGAGTTCTCTTCTTTACTATGACCGATTTCAATTATATATATATATATATATATATATATATAAGTTTGCTTCTGCCCAACGCTCTATCCCAGAGTGGAACAGTCTTCCAGCAGATATATTGCACGTCGACAGTCCATATAATTGGTAAATCAATAATGATAAATCAAAATCGATTTTAGCAACTGTCCACCAAAAAAAGTATATTCTAATCTCAATTGCATTAACTCCATCACATTGTTTAGTTTCTCTCTTATCTCTGTCATTAACGTATAATTAGTAGCCGTATAAATATTAGATTCATATGCTAATTCTATAATTATTTATATTGAATACAACTGTTTACATTCACATTTAATTGTAATATATATCATTTGAGTATCATGGCCCCTCTTCTTGTTAATTTGCCAAAATTTCACAACTCATTTTTATCTTAGCTCGGTTGACCGTCTACTTTTGCTTATAACGGCGACCTTCTGCTTTCTTTATACACGCAAATGGCCCAACGTATAAGTTTACTCTTACTCATGTATTATACATTTGTTTCTATATTTTCTATATTGTTTGTATACCTTGTGTTTTATATAATTATCCATATTTGTTGTATAACTGATTTGTTTGATTGCAGAAAATAAAGTCTTTGAAATGAAATGAAAATATAGAACTTTCAGGCACTAATACTGAGGCATTTTATCATGCTAAATTATTGCTCATATCCCATACAACCTCATGGTGTTCCTCACCCCACTTTTGAAAGTTGTTCATCTCTGTTATATAGGCTGCATATATAGCTTTTTAAAGATTACTAGAATAAAAATAAGAAGAAGACAATAGCATTTACTTAATGTCACCTGACTGACATTGTGTGTGTTATAAGATTAAGAGACAGGGTAGCTATAAAACATGAAAATAGGCATATGCCTTGTAAATTGTCCCATAATATCCTTACATTAAGTATATTGGTATTATTTGAATTAGTCAACATGGTTCTTTCACGAAAGTCTTAATTCAGCCTTGTCCTTTTATGATTGGTTAACTACCTTGAAATCATTTCATAAACGCCTGTGTATTTATTTAACAACAGATAGAGAAAAAAATATAGATTTTTTTTGTTGTTGTTTACATTGTGTATTTTCTAATGATTTTTGTACTTATTCTGTGTTTCATTAGATGATAATAGTTTAAAAAGCTTCCTTCTAAAAAAAAGCCTTAAAACACCAATGTTATTATTATTTCTTTTACAGAAAGAAAGAACATTTGGAGGAATTTGTTTGGCAAAAGCAGTATAAACACGAAAGTATAAATGGATAAGTTTTCTTATATTTTTAATATCTCTATAAATATCATCAGGGTAACCTTTGTCTAAGAAAAAGGAAATTCAATCAAAATGGTGCCTCAATAATTGTATTCTTATGTATTTATTTTCCCCTTTCAGAGAGCTAATTTGTACTTGGTGATTTTATACTGAATGATGTACTTGCCATTTTTGTACTACATAAATTGCAAGATTAAACTTGTGCTTTCATAATTAGTCCCCTTGGATAAATGTACAGTGATATATTGAGAATGGCGACAGGGAAAGTATAGTATATAGGCCCTGGGCTATATTATGGGGCAGCCCAAGAGAGAGAAGAGAAAAGGACCGAGAAGAGAGAGAGAGATATATAGATAGATAGAGAGAGAGAGAGAAAGAGAGAGAGAGAGAGAGAGAGAGAGAGAGAGGGGGGGAGATAGAGAGAGAGAGAGGGAGAAATAGAGGGAGAGATAGAGGGAGAGATAGAGGGAGAGGGGGAGATATGGAGAGAGAGAGAGAGGGGGATAGGGAGAGAGAGAGAGAGAGGGAGGGAGGGATAGAGGGTGCTCTGAGATATAGGAAGAGACACGGGGAGAGAGGGAATCGACGGAGAAAGAGAGAGAGAAATGGGGATCGAGGGAGGGAGAGACAGAGAGAGAGAGAGAGAGAGAGGGGGGGGGGAGAGAGAGAGAGAGAGAGAGAGAAATGGGGATCGAGGGAGGGAGAGACAGAGAGAGAGAGAGAGAGAGAGAGAGGGGGGGAGAGAGAGAGAGAGAGAGAGAGACAGAGCGACAGAGAGACAGACAGAGAGAGAGTGAGTGAGAGAGAGAGAGAGAGGGAGAGAGAGAGGGGGGGGGGAGGGGAGAAAATATCAATAGACATAATCACTACAGAGCTAGCTAACAGAGATGTGAACAATTTCACGACTACTTTAATTAAGAAGGAATCGATATATTAAAACTGAAATTAGCATTGTGTAAAAGAGGGAGAGAGTAGGCATAATTATAATAGTAGAAGGGGTTTAAGCACCCTAAGCCCGCCACCCCTCCAATGAGGCCTAGGGTGCATTGTATACAAATATGTATTATTATTTTATTTCATTTTTCATGAATGATGATAGTAATTAAGATCAGTATGTGCATTATTATTAGAAAAATTTAGTGATTTCATACCATTATTCTCCTTCTTTGCTCACTGTTTTGTGAATAATTCAATTATGTTAAGAAAACGAAATGAAGATCTGTATTTGAATGGAATTATGAACATTGATTTTTATGAAATGATTTATTTTGAATGAAATCTCTAAGAAGAAAAAATATTGAAGAAAAAAGAAAAAAACACTCATTTGAAAGCAGCTAGTGAATTTAAAGGTTCCTTTTATTCCCACTTTTATCACTTCCGGGCATTGTTTTTTGTTCATTTCCCCATAACTAATGTAACCCCAAGGAAAAAGGAATTAATGTTTTCTGTCTTTCTTTGCTCGATTATTTCACTCACAAGATATAGGAATCATATACAAAACACAAAACGACTGTTTACGCTGTCGAGTCCAATGCAAAGTATGTGATCTATCCACAGAGAGTATCTTTGCGTTGCCGTACAAAAGTAAGTAAGAACTGTACACTTATTTTGTTACTTTTTTTATATTTTAGGTTTTAAAACTATAAATAAAACTATTGTTTTAATTCAGTTGAATTATCAAATATATATTTGTTGTTTATTGAAGTATTAATTACTAATATTTTATTTTTTTTAAAAACTTTAAAAAACTATTTTTGGTGAAAATTCCCGGTAAGTTTTGATTTAGAATTAGAGTTCGAAGACGAACAACATTTTGCTGCGGTTTTGCCTGTAATTGTGGATTTCTTTTCTCAAAGGTAAGAAGAAGATGATTATGTAGCATAATTCATATGATTGTGAATAAATCATGCTAATCTTGATGCCTTTATGATATAGAAATGTTCTTTTCAAAATCGCTATAGAATTATGTATTGTCCCACATGTTCAAAATCATGTTAGATTGATTGGCCGCCGAACTGTGACCAAATTGTGATTGTGATTCATATTACAATCGCCGCGCCGCAAACAATTTTGTACGCACCCCCGAAACAATGCAAAGTTAATGAACAAAACTGCATTGTAATGTACTATTATATCTTTAGTAGAGTCTAGGTTATACTAGATCTAGATTAGGCCTAGATCTAGGCCTGGATATTCTTCTTTTTCTTCTTCTTAATTCTTCTCCTCCTCCCTCATCCTTCTGACTTGAGTTCTTCTCCTCCTACACGTTTCTCCTCCTCCTCTAGTCCTACTCCTCATACTTCAACTTCCCCCCTCCTTCTCCTTTGTCTTTTCCTTCTCCTTCTTCGATCTTCCAACTTCCAGGTATATTTCTTGACAATTTAATAAAATTATAATAAGACGTGTTGTTTCAGAACATTTTAGCAAGATAATGGATATCGTTTAAAATAACATTAACAATGCTAGACTCCTAGAGCAATTTTTGTTTGCCCTGAAGGCCTGATGCCACTCACTTTTCAGACAAAATATTGATCTCATTTTTGTTCGCGAGTGGCACTGTGCGGTCCGTTGACGTCATTGTATCCCTCGACCTCGCTAACATTAATGGCTCGATATATTATTATTATGAAGATTCAACATCAATCAATGTCACTGATGATCATTTTCAAGCTTCACCATGACGTCGCATGCTGATATGACTGGGAGCGTGATGGGGACCGTTGCAGACCAAGAGATCGCCAATCTCTCCAGTAAGCTGAGCCAGGTCAGTGATAAGTTCATCAACCAATGGACCGGCGTAAACCTTCTCCAGCATCTAAAGCACAATGAAGGACAACTACGACAGTTCATCAAACAAGCGGAAGGTAATTAAGGCAATGAGTATTGGATGAAATCATTCAGGGCCCTGTTTCATAAAACTTGTTATCAATAACAAGTAACATCCATCGGATAGGACGTTAAATGGAGGCCATGTGTATAGGAGAGTCACCACCCTTGCACGTTGATAACCCACTGCACTATTCGTATAAGAGTAGGTAGAAACCCCGGTGTAGTGGTCCACCTGCACACCCCAATCAGGCCGGGTATACACCATCAGCAAGAATCTTCAGTATTGAAGGAGGCAGATTTTCTTGAAGAAGAAGAGGAAAAAGAACATTTCCTGTTATGAGCTACTGAAATCATGGCATTTTATTGACTGAGAGCAAATTTGTCGTAGAAATGTAGCAATTGTTATTGATACAAGTTTCATGAAACAGGGCGCTGGTCAGCCTTGTTCAGACATGAGAGGGCAAAATTAACCAAATTGTTTTAAAGAATGGTGCAAAAAAAGTCTTGGTGTAAACAAGTAGTTCATAAGGATGGAAAAAAAGGAAGAGCACACTATTCTTCTGTCTATATTTTTGAAGAATTGAAGATACAGAAATGCAAAGTGAACCATGCTTACATAATTTAATTTTGCTGTTGCGATGCTTTTGAGAAGGCTTCCCAAGTTGTGTGAACAAATTTTTATTAGTAGCAAGTTACTGTATCCCTTTGATTCTTCATTTACCTTGGTTTTGCTCAGTTTGATCACATTTGTATGTGTGCAGTTGATGTTTCTTTTAGATGAAGTTTCCTGACAAAGTGAAAATATCAAATTTTTGTTAGTTTATTCCAATACATAACAATAAATAAAATTAAAGATTCATTCTCATTATCTCTCCCTCTCTCTCTCTCTCTCTCTCTCTCTCTCTCTCTCTTTCTCATGAATTTTAACTTCTAAACCATACCATATGTTTCATTTGAAATTCTTTTAAATTCAATTTCCCATTCCTTTACAGATCAAATTGAAAGTTTGAAAGGAGAAATGGTAGCATTAAAACAGCAAGCTTCCAGCAGTCAGTTAGGTAAGTAAGATATGACTACAATATAAAATGTTCACAAATTACACCACCAGGGGCCTCCGGTTGTGCAGGCTTCTTTAAATAAATATGTTGTTTGATAAATTACAATTATTTTTTGGGTGTAAAATGACAAAAGATCCTACAGTGCAAGAAGTTAATCGCAGATAATGACACTCTACTCGGTTATTTCCAACTCTATGTATTCATAGTGGGATTTTTAATGTGTTTTGATTCTTTCTTTAATTTTGTAAACAGAAAGGTATACATATTTGATAATTGTTTTACTTTGGTTTCAATCTAATGAATATCCAATCATAACCAAACAGTATGCATTGTATCTTGTTTTTGTGTAAAAAATCATTTAGAGAAAGATATGCATTTACATGTATGACATGACAAAATTGCCAGTATGATGATTTTATCGATAGGTTTCACATAGGTTAGTCTTTATCTTTATAATGTTATCAAAGTGTTTGTTCTTATCAAAATATATTTAAGTTATTTAAAGTTTAAAAAATCATATATGATGTCAGAATTAAATACAATTTAACATTTGATGCCAAGTTCTAGGGAAATCTGTTTATATATTTATTTCTTTGGGTTTTTTATTTCAGCTGTGGCAAATCAAGAGTCGCAAGCCAAGGACATTGAGAAGGCTATTGAACAAGCCCGTACTACAACGGAGCAGCTACTCTTCCAGAAAGAGCAATGGGAAAAACAGCTGGTGGAAGAGACTAAGCAGTGCCAAGAACAGAAAGAATGTAAAATTTTTTAATCAAATTGCGGTGGTAGTCATTACAGTGCCATAGGTGTTATCATCCCATATTATGTACCTGATGTAATAACCTGATGTTCATGGTTGTTTTTCTTTCTGAAAGTGTCTGTAATCTTTTTTTTTCATTGTCATATTCATATTCATAATACTGGCTGACCTAATGGGGGATATCAGAATTTATTGCCCGCTCTAGAATCATATTTCCAGGTCCAAGTTGCAAACTGGAAAAGACACTTTGAAAATGCAATTATTATTGTCATTACTATCATCATAAACATCATATAATCAATATCTCCATGATCATCTTCATTATCATCCTCTTCCTCTTCATTATTATTGTCACCATCATCATCATCACCACCGTCATTATCCTCATCATTACTGTATCATTATCATTTCTTTTTCTCTCATACAGTGTTGTAGGCTGTAATATAATATTGTATTCTTGAATTCCTCCATCTTGTAGTAATTGAAGCCCAAGAGCGAGCAACCAGACAGAGGCTTGAAGCACTGAATAAAGCTGAGCATTACTTCAAGGACATCATGGCTTTAGAGTTCAGGAAGATCGATGGTGAGAACTAGCTAAAGCTAAACCTGTATATAAAGACCGCTCAAGGGAGACATTAAGAAATTTAGTCTTTAAAGGGAGTTGGAGTTCATGTACAGGTTCTTTTCTTTTCCAATGAGAAACTTTTCAAAGGACACCCCCCCCCCTTATTTTTTAAAAAAATACAAATTTGGTCTTTCTATACAGGTTTGAAAGTACTAGTATGTATTTTTAGACACAGTCTAACCTGCTTTCTTCACCACCTGTACAGAAAGACCATTGTCTATATATTCTCCATTTTCTGATTTAATATCCCTGAAGAGAAATTCACATTGAGCATATTAGAGACCTGTACATAAAGACCAGCTGATTATACAGACTGTTTTTGTTTTTTTCCTTCAAAAAGAATTTTGAACTTTTCTATTTGCTGCCAAATAAATGACATTATTTTTGTATTTTTTATTTAAATATTCATTTAATCAAACAGCGTATGGTCACTCAACTCTCAAGGCACACATTGGATTTTTTTTTCCCTTCCTGCTCGTACGTTTTACATATTTTTTATAGGACCAACTCATGTGAAATTTTGTTATCATTGATTTTGAAAACACGTTCTGGAATGAGATTGAGGAGTAAACAAAAAGGCACCTGGACCCTTTTCAATAACCCAGTGAGTACTTCCAAACATTTTGAAAAATGTCTACCTATTTTTTTCACCCACATTTTCATTTGAAAATCTTTATTATTATCAATTGCAAGACTCCTCTGTATTATGTGCTGCAAAAACTTAAGTACTAAAATATTCATGTGATTGTTCTTTTATATCAGGTGATCATCTGCAGTTTGTCTTCACTAACGTGGACTCTAAGAACCATGATAGGAGCTTCTATCTCACAATCAAAATTGATAACAGCCAATATCAAGGTACGTGTGTATGTGAAGCTGTATTTCCGTCGTTACCAACTTAAATGTAAAGACCAGTTTTGGAAACGCCCCCCTCTCAAAAAATGAAATGGAAGCTCTTATTACCAATCACGTGAAAGAATATGTTTTGACTAATACGTGACGATTCAAATTTTACTGGGAAACCGCCTACTATTGATATATTTGGTAAATTATCATATCTAGCCTGCCTGGATTGATATCGGGTAGTCCCATATACATCTTTTTGTGCACAGTGCTTGTAACTTTACCAAGACTGGGCCAAATTTTTTAAAATCATTTTTAAGATTCCAGAACCTTGCAGTATACACCAATACTTATATGCTAGATGATCAACCTTTTTTGATCAATTCCACAACGTTTCTTTCACAATGCAATCGCATGACCAGAACTGGTCTATACCTTTAATGGTACCCTTGTCAGTGCTTTCATCTTCTCCTCTGTCAGAAGCAACAGGCTCTTATTTAGCTTTGTTTTGAATTGGTATTTCTAGGGTCTTTGATCTTGTTGTAAATTGTTAGTAGGGAAGTAGGAGAGCGCCCTCTGTAGCTTACTACATCCGCAGCCCTCAGGCCCCTCCCGATGTACAACTTTAGTACAGATAACCTCTTGAAATTATTCTGAATAATTGACTAGTTCTTCATGCTCTTGAAATTAAAGCCGAATAATTGATGCAAATTAATTAAAGTGGTGTTGTTATGTTCACTTCTGAAAAATGTCATGCCTGAAATAACAAAGAAGTTGAATCATTTATTCACAAATGGGACTTGAATAAATACTAGATTCCTTGCCTTCCTAAAAACCCAGAGTCTTGTTTCACTGGTGTGCTAGATACAAGATAAATTGGCATTAGACCAAATGAAAGAAAGTCATACATGTATTTTCTAGGTACATGTACATTTTAAAATATTTGTGCCACAATCGCAATACAATATTTACATTAAATGGTAATTGTATATAGAGTGATTAGATCCATAAAATATGAGTAATACCGTAATTATAATTTCCTTTTTTGTCACCTTTGACCCAAAGTGACCGACTGCTGCCCAGCTATCGATGGAATTCCAGAGATGGTCGCAGGGCTCAACAAGTCCAACAACCTCATGAAGTTTGTTGTGGAAGCGAGGAAAAAGTTCAAGCTTACAACAACCTGAAATCAGCATTGGATTCTTTCGTAATGAAAGAATGGTGAATCTTATTTATATTTCACCACATAACATATGTTTTTGAAAATATCTAACTTTATAGATACTCTAATAACTTCTCATATAATTTTTTTTCTCAAGACATGTTCAAAAATAAGTTTTTTAAATGCCTATTTAGATTTGTCTGTACAGGTACTGCTGGTATGACCAGCTGTAGAAAATTATTTAAACCTGAAATGATAATTCCATTCAATTGCACACTTATTTTTGTTTTTAAATGAATTAAGTAAACAGAAAAATGTTCAATGCTTGAGTTATATTTAATTGCAAATTCCTGTATGCACCAACACTGCTTTCTTTATAGAGACTTGAAAGATAATTTGCTATACTTGAAGAGGAAAACAGAAGCTGTTGAGTCTTTGCCTACATATTAGAAAGTGTATGAGCTTTACTTGTAGAATGAAACTACATCTGATGCATTTATATGTTTTTGTGTGTTTCTGTACATGAAAGACCAAGATAAAATGTAGTCAAACTTGTTGGCCAGAATCATGAATCCACAATAGTGAATAACCTTGGGTTGTTCTATTTTATGTATCCAATAATCAATATCATACTAATGTTGCTTAAAAGTGACATAATTTAGGAGAGAATGAAATGATTTCAAAAATGATTATGTATAGTCAAATTGTTGACTTTTTTTATCCAGGCTTCCTCACATATTTCTAGCTGCATTTGGGCAGATGGATTATGTAATATAGCTAATATATCTTGGGTAAATAAAGATGGATTCTAAACTTTCCCCAATCTCACTGATAAAATTCTTATAGTTAACCCATGGATAGTCATTAAGGCTCGTTGACTACTAAAAAGAAATTATTCGACAATAGATCAATTCATATCAACCATTGTATTAAATAAAATTGAAGATTTTTTTTTAAATACTTGTAAAAATTGTATATACATTGTATATACATTGTATATGCTTGTAAATGAAAAATGTTTGTATATGCATAATACACATGTAGTTAATGTGCTTATCAAAAACACCTTTGAATGTTGTATAATATATGTATACGGTACTTCTCAAAATATTTGTACATTGTATCTTTATTACAAATAAAACAATCTTAAAAGTAGAATATCCATATTTTGTTATTATTTGTGCCACTTAATTTTCTCTTCTAATGTTTATCTCATTTTTAGGGAGTATATCGTATGTTTGGAGCCAGCTCAAAAATCATTAACTTGTGTGTACGAGTATGGCTCCAGAAGATATACCGTACATTTACATGTACAAGGATTTTAAGTATCTTTGTATCGTCACACCCTTGGACAACAGCCATCCAGCCAAAATTACCCCCATAGTGATTGATTGACCCACTGGGTGTGTGTGTGTGTGTGTGTGTGTGAGAGAGAGAGAGAGAGAGAGAGAGAGGGAGAGAGGGGGGGGGGGAGGGTGGGGTGGGAATGCATTAAGTCACATTCTCCTTTTATAGTTGTTGTTGAACTACTAAATGTCAATGTACATTATTAATCTTATTTCAGGTTTTCTTGTATTTTACTGTAAATATAACAATATTAGTCTCCTGACTTTTGCCATGTTTCTTTAAACAATAAAACCTAAATTGAATTGAATTAAATTGTGGTAAAGGGAGGGGACGTCGTCCTTGCTGAATTATTTATACACTAACTTATCTTGGGGATGATAGCTACTAGTACAAAGACAGTTTGTCATCAAATCTTTTCATTGCAATGAAATTTTTATTGCATACTTTTTAAATGAAGGTTGTTCTAGACAACCTGAAAGCTTGCCCACGACTTCCCCAACATAGCAACAAGTGATTTATTGAGAACGGATTCCAAGTAATGTAGTTCATCCATTAATAACAGGTAAATTGAATAACTTGTCACTATATGTCCCCAAGAAAGACTCAAAACTTCCACAAATCTGAATATGTTATTAAACCGGTTTATTGAATCAAGCACTTACTAAACATCAAGCACAAATGAAAGTCATCATTTGGTTAGTCATAAGTTGATCTTTATTACAGTTAAATAAAACAACATGTGATAAATCAGGGAAGAGATAAGGTATATCATATTTACAAAAACTTTCTAGCGACTGCATTATGCTAGCTACTCATAGTACATCATAGTACAACTTCCATACATCCATTCTACCTGTAGCTCAATATTAAACACAAAAACATGTTTTTAATTAGGCTACAACCATTCAAAAATGATGACAAATACCGTAAATTTTGGTATATGGTAATACCAGTAATGATCACAAGTGTCAGAATATACACGGTTTAGTGCATGAATGGCTGCTTTAAGAAAATGTTGACCAATAATGCTTGTAGTTTTTTTTTTCCTTTTTCCCATGTACATGTCTATTGTATTAGAAATTTATATTTCCACAGGTGGGCCTTTTCTCAATATGATTATTGCTGCTAGACCTGTGAACCTCAGACAAATGCTTTTCTCGACTTCTTTTTCATTTTCCCTCGCAGTTCTGGCCTATATGTACACACAGCAAAATAAGGAAGTGGACCCTCTTTTTTATTCCAAATTTTGATATAAACTGTCAATGAAATATAATAAAATATGTTCCAAATTAAAGGAAAGCTTGGATGGGCACATCCATTGAACAGTTAGAAGGTCTGATTAAAAAAAAGGACGAACTAATGCATGCACGTCACATACTCATATTCAGACTCACATATAAACCATCAAATTTCACACATCTCACTTGATAAACAGTTCTCTAATTTCACTATCATTTACAAAAACACTTATCAACACTACCATCGCAATTATACGCTTCAAGAATGTTTAGATCAAAATGCTCTATCAAAATTCTAGAACATACTCAATTAAAAATTCCCACATAAATGTATGTGTCAAAAACACTCAACTAAATTTCCTTTGCTCAGAATTCTTTGGTGTACTCTATCTCTATCATTAAAGCACCCACACAGGGGCACCACTAGATAATTTTGAACGGAGGGGGGGGGGGGGGGGGGGGGGGGGGGTGTCAAACCAACAAGAACAAAGAACATGCAGAAAAAAGGGGTAAACATGTGTTTTATTTTTTAAAGATTTGGCAACAATCTATGAAAATATCAAATTTCCAGACAAAATGTTTGTTATGTGCTATTGGGAGGAGGAGGGGGGGGGGGGGGGGGGGGGGGGGATGCTCTCTATATCTAGTGACGCTCCTGTTCTGCACTGGCTAGAACTCAAGCTGCACTCATCCAAATGTATCATGCACTGTACTCGTAACACCACATCATTCAACATCAATACATCCCTAGATATATGAATGTACAGAGATTTTGCCCATGGATGTGATAAAACATGGCCATCACTTTCCCTCCAGCTATGCTTTCTCATAAAACGATATCTGTAAAGTGCTCAGAGACATCACAGTATTTCCTTTATAGTGCTATACAAAATCCATATCATTATTACTATTACTTCCTTTTGTTAGTAAAACAGTTTAACTAAACTGTCAAATTTTCATGCAAGTACCCTGTGGATATGTACATGTATAAAGGGATATTCATCTGGATGATATCATCTTCCTTTAAATAATGAAATAAATATGTAACCTGTTTACGACTACACAAACCCTTGTTAATAGCATTAACTTAGAACATCTAGATTTTCTCCACAATTACTACATTATATAAATACTAATTAATCTTTTGCGTAGAGTAATTAATATATATGTATATGCAAGGGAATAGACAATGAATTTTAATTTTCTAAAACACTCACAATGTTGGTCATTTTTACATTTTCAGGGACATACAGTGTACAAGCATAATCAACCAATATCTAATATCGATTGCATAGATATTGACCTATTATATAATCCTATTTATTGCATAGACCTTTACTTTGTTTACCATACAGATCTAATAAACCTCCTAATTTCCTGGGTTTTTTTTTTTGCAGGATGGGGCATACAATGAAAACCAAAATATATATACAGTTTGAATATAAGGGATTCCGTTAATACAATCTCAACTACAATGTATTATTACCCGTATCAGACATCTGAGCTAGTCATTTACAAAACCGTATTGCCCTAGTTTTTACTAGCAGTGGGAACGGAGGGGTATATTCTTTGTATTTTCCTTGGTCTCCCTGCGCGTATTGACTTTGCGTGTAGAGACAAGCGAAAATATACCTTGGTATTTTCCACGGTCTCGCATCCGGGCATCTTGTATTGACTGCGCCGTATTTTGTAATTTTCATTGCGCATCTATTATGCGTACGAGAAGCTGCGCACTTTGCACGCACTCTATTGTGACGTAATAATCACACCAAATGCACACTGTTTGCAGTGTATCGAAATTGTGTCAAGCACTGGATGCACAGTGCTGGTTTGACAAAGTTTGTTCAGTTCTTGAGATTGTCATGGTGGATGTCTGTATTTGCTCTAGATGTCTGATTTGGATAACAATACAAATATTGACTGGCTTTACTTTCGGGGGGATATCAGAAATATTGACCGCGCTAAGACCATATTGCCCTCGTCTTTCGACTCGGGGCAATATGATCTGAGCTTGGTAAATATTTCTGATATACCCCTCAAGGCCAGTCAATATTATATAACTATACAATTTTATTTTATTAATAATAATAATTGTTATACCTCTAAATTCATTAAAATTTGATCTCAATAATTTTGATCAATGTGTGGTCTACTATATAATCTTAAAAGTGAAGATGTCTTTATTCTTTCTCGAGTTGATTTGAATTAATCTTTCTCCTTACATGTATATCTGAACTAATAAAAGCAATATAAAGTTTAGTTTTCACAGAAAAAAGTTACATGTTCAACTCTTTATAAAGAGTACAAGGATATAAACTAAATTGCCTATAGGTCAAACTTCTTCATACAAAAAGATTAATGTACCATGCTTGAAATCACAACTACAAAATTATTATCATGTTTCGTCATTTTACCCAAAGAAATGAGTTGTTTGTACAAGAATGTTTGGAGAAAAAAAATCATCAAAAATCAAATGGCACTGTTATTTATGGCAAGAAATTTCTTTTTGAATCCCAACTGTCTTTAGGAAATTTCCTAATTTATCGGTAGCACCTTTTGACATAAACAATATTACAGTTTAAATCATTTTAAAAAATACTACAATCGTACATGTAGTACAACTACCTGTTGTATAAGCCTGTGTTATCTGAACTTTATGTTCATTACAATCATCATTCTTGACTTCTTGTCCTAAGCATCTTGTTGATGTACATTTGCTAAAATTTGTAAACCCTAAAACTATGGCACGTCTCAAACTTATTCCACAAGAGACAATGTGCAAAATGAGCTGATATGATACAAGTATAATTTGATTTTATCAAGCAGTGCATGTGGATATGTGCAAGTTCATAATTTAGATTAATAATTTTACAGTTGGCCGAGATGTGGAATTTAAAATCATTTCTTTCGTTTACAATTTGGCATTTCACTTTTGTTACATGTTCCTCCATTTTTGTTGTTTTACTGGATTAGAGAAATCCTAATTTGATGTAGATTTACAAAGTATATCACACCAGGTATGTACAGATTCAAGTTGAATTAATGCTCTCCCCAATAAAATTATTATTTACATACATACATGTAATTCTCACAACCATACTGTTCATCGACAATACAACTACCGGTAATCTCTAAGCACTACAATTTCACTATTGCATCATGATCAGTTTAGTAAGTATATATTACAACGATTACAGGATAACAATTATATCAATCTATGTAACATTAAAGGTCAATGTTTGGTAAAAAATATACCATACCATCGCTTTTTTTTTGAAGGTGTTTTGTTTCTAAATCTTCTAATAGACAAGTGCACTTTAATTTCTAACTTGCATAATTTTGAAACAGGATGGAAAAGAGTCACACGTACATCAAGACCGTGTTTTAAATGCTAGACTTCCTTGAAGGAGGGGAGACTATGAAATTTGTTTAAGGGTGTTCCTCAGTACTGTTCCTTTGCACCTTAGCAGTTCAGGGCAGCTGGTTATGTATTCACCATGCACAGCGCCTGAAATTTCTGGTATTGTGCATAGTAAATACATGATTAGCTTGCCCTGCGT